AACTCTTCTATAGTATGATTTTACAAGCAAGGACGAGTTGTGCAATATTTTTGCATAAATTGAATAAAAAAAAAAAATAACAAGCAAATATTTTTTTTCTTAATAGAAGTTTGGTGAATAAAATAGAAAATATAGACAAATAAAGATAAATAAAAATGTGGAATTCATGGTAGGGTTTACAAATGATCTCATCACAAATATATTGTCAAATATGGAAGTGGCTGAACAACTTAAGTTAACTTTGGTAATAGCAGAGATTATTTGAGACATTTGTAAAAAGAGTGATATGATGGAGAAGAAATTGAGACAGAAAGGGTATAGGCTAGCCAAAGAATCCGACCTAATAAGGAAATTATGAAAATTATAAATATAACCAGGTTTCACAATAGTAATATAGTTATGCCTTTGTCTGAAAACGTAACAATGAATCTTGCTTGGAGGTGGCATGGGGGGGGGTCAAACAGCCATTAGCCAAATACCACAGGGTTCCTTGCTATTTCATCTTCTTGTTTTCAATTTTATTTAGAGTATGTATCATCAAAATGTAAAGAAAATTGGATCAACTTTGCGACTTTCCTTTACCAAACTTTTGATGAATTAGATGAGGATAAAGAAGCAAATCACTTTGTTATAAAACAGAATAAAAGGTCAAGTGAAAATGTATTCAGATGGACAAAGATGCATTCCAAAAGCTAAGCAGAGTATTAAGAGACAGAAAATATTTTGTTAGAAACAAAGAAAAGAGAACTGAACTGTTACATAATGTCAGTCCTCCTGTATGGCAGTGAATGCTGGACAATTTCCTCAAAGACGAAAAAGATTTGAAGCAACAGAAATGTGATTCTACAGAAAAATGCTGAGGATACCATGAACCAAACATGAGCAACAAGGTTTTAGAGGGGAAAAAAAAAAAAAAAGGAAACTTATACTCAACATCAGGAAGAGGCAATTGAAATTTCTGGGGAATGTAAAGAGGAAGAAGGGCTCGGAAAACCTGATACTCACAGGACATATTGAGGGAAAGAGGGACAGAGGAAAGCAGCAATAACATACTTGATAAGCTTGAGCAAATGGATGGTAGAACAAGGTTTGAGAGAAGTAACAAAAAGAAATCTCGCTACAAAGGACAGGAAGATGTGGAGGGCTATGATCGCCTATAGCCTGAAGAGACACAGCACCTAAAATAAGGACACCAGTTGGTAGAGTTTCTCATTCTTAAACTTTTCACTAATCATTTATCAGACAGAGACTTTACAGAGTGAAACAGACTGAATATATTTAAGCTTTACTAACAGAATTGGTCAAAAGGAATGTGAGGTACTGCTTGGTAACTGGAGAAGAGTATCAGTCCACATAAACCTCACTACAATATATTATCAGGGCAAGTGTGAAATAGTTGACAACCAGGTGAGTGTAGTTGATTCAATCACTGAACCAATTTCTTTTGTTTCATATAATAAAGCACCTAACAGGAATTGTGAGTGAACAATTCAAAACTAACAGATGTTAAAAAAAAAAAAAAAAATTTTAAAAGAAAACATGTCAACAGTTTATGAACCTAAAATATCACTCAATCTTGTATTTTCAATAAATCAAATTACTTAAGAATCAATTTAACAAATTTCAAACTAAAGCAGAAAATAAGTTAAAATGATCAATGCAGCAAAAAGGTGAATTTCTTTCCAGTATGGTAATGCAAGACATTTTGTAAATTAATAGTGGATAGGTGTGCCTATCGTCTGGTCTTTTGAACAAGAGTAGAGGGTTTAGTTCAAGATTGGGTTTCTAGTTCCTTCTAAAGTTATCATTCACTTTCACACTCAGTAGCCCCTTGCATCTTAGTGGCATTATTGCCTTGTTTGGAGTGAATTGAGTATAAAAAAAAAAAAATATATATTTCAGAGACATTATTCTAACAATTATTTGGACAGTTGAACAGTTTCCGTTTTTTGTTGTTAGACCAAAATTTTTATTAACCCCCTTCTTCAGGCATATAAATTTATATGGAATGAGAAAGGGAATTTTTCTGGGATTGGGGGTGGGGTGGGGAATGATCACAAATCAGAAAATGTTAGAAACAGCTAATTTTTTTTTAAAGCTCAAAAATGCACTCCAATCCTTTCTTTGCTAAGAAATTTAATGATGGTCCAACACATTCGTCCACAAGGACAAGGTACCCAGCTTCTTTCAATACTCTTAGGACCTGGTTCCAGGGAAGATCATGTGATCCTTTAACTCTTTCTCTCCACCAGAGTTTGCCATACTAGATTTATTCTACCTTCCCTTTCAATATGACTTCATTTTATGTTCATTAAATCTAAATAGTTTCTCTTTCATATTTTTTCCTACATTTTCATGATAAAATGACAAATTCTTGAGTTTCACTTTTCTTAAGGAGGATCACATTTACTAAAGGAGGTTGCACATGAAACTTCAATATAACACTAGCAAATCCTTTGGATTCACTAAGCCACTCTTCGTAGTGACGAGCAGAAAGATAAAATTTAAACGACAAAAAAAAAAAAAAACTATCATTGGTTTTATAAAGCAAAGAACATTAAATGTTATGAATGGTTTGGTCTAATCCATGTATTTGTTTCTTTTTTTCTCATTTACAAATTCATCTCTCTTTCAATGCCCTTAGTACATCAGATGAAGGCCATAAAAATGCATCGATGAACTGAAATGTTGCAAAATCAACAAAAACAATGAGTTTAACAAACTAAACTTTTGTAAGGATTAAATATTTATAATCACAGATTATCTCAGAGGAACAGTTTAGAGTGTGATTATAAAATAGTTTTCAAATTGCAAGTGAAAACTCTTTCAAGGAGACTCCTAGAGAAAAGCATTTTACAAATCTATTACAGTATTTCAAAGCAAAGGTTTCCTGACCAAAACAGAAATGAAAATTAAAAAGGATATCCCTAAGGGTCTATATGATATTCTATATACCTATATTGATATGTAAATCATGTTTTGACAGGCACTCTTCTGACCTTGATTAATTCTAGATGGCTAATGTGATAAAAAAAAAAAAAAAAAAAAAAAATTAAATAAAAATTGTCCCATTGTCACTTAATTTTACTGGCAAAGTTGTTCTTTGTTTTCTTTTATATAAAATAAAATAAAAAAAAATGTTAAAAGGATTATTCAAATGTTAATGACCCTTCTCAAACCAATAGAAATCTAATCCCTAAAAAAAAAAAAAAAAAAAAAAAAAATTCGTCTGAATAACTATTTCAAATATTAATGAGTCTTCTCAAAACTATAGAAAATACCAAAATATTCCTTGTTTGTGAAGATATTTATATCTAGGAATATGACCCAGTTATTACCATTTAACCCCCCCCCAACACACTTTTTTTTTTTTTTTTTTAGTACAGGTTCTTTGTGTATTTCCTGAGAATATTTTTTTCTTTGCGTAGTATACATGTCAAAAGTCAAAATACCTTTTTAATACTCAAAATCTTATATCACCCATCAAAATTTCCAGTTGCAAACCATTCTCTGTTCAGTTGCTAATTGCCCACCCAACAGTTGAAATCACCCACCAGTGGGCGATATCACCCAGGTTGGGAATTCCTAGTCATGAAGCATAATTTAGAAATAAAGTTAAAAATAGAGCTACTATAGAACGTATCATTGAGACACTACAAACAGAAAATAGTTGTGAATAAGACATTGAAAAATGATCGATTCCATTTATGGTCCTATTTAATACTTGCATACAAAGCTGACTGGAGCCAAATGCATTCACAGTATTTTTCTTTGTTTTGGAGTTATTAATATGGATAACTGATAAATTGTGAGACCTTTAGATCAATTTGTCCTTTCTAAATGTTACCTCCCCACCACCAGAGTTTTTCCTTAATATTTACTTAGTGGCAAGTTAATTTTTCATGATTAGTAAACAGTTTATCTGAATACCTTTAAGTAACTGCAAATATTTTCTGGCCTTAGTCATAATATTTGTATGAATTACAAGCTGTTTTACTGAAAATAAAATGAAACCCGTTTGTGCATATTTAAATATTTGAAACTTACACATTCTTTTTGTTTTTTTTAATACTGCCCTTTTAATTTGATTTGAAAATGAAATGTATTTAGAGATTCTTGATAAAATTCAAAGAAGTATCTGCAAAGTTATTGATCCTGACCTGGCATATAGGTTTCATTATCTTTCTCACTGCCTTAACGTAGCTTCTCTGTGCCTTTTCTATAAATATTTATATATATTATATTATATTTTCATGATAATTGTTCCAATGAGCTTTTCTCTTTGATACCTAGACTTTATGAATTTAAGTGCAGTATTAGATTGGTGGCAAACTCTCATTGTTTCACAGTAAAATGGCTAGATGTAGAGGTAAGTTCACTGCTAACAGGTTCTTTTCTCACACTTCTTGCTTGTAGAACTCCCTTCCAGCTCCTTACTTTCCAGCCAACTTTGATCTTCAATAATTTAAGTGCAACGTCAATTGTTATCTTGTCTTAATTCCTGCTCTTTTATTGTTCTCTCTCTGTATTAATGATTTTTTCCTGATATTCTCTCACACTCAGTAACACTTGTGTCTTTAGTGGCTTTGTTGGGGGGAAATAAGAAAAAACAGAAAGAACATTCAAGACAATATATAACAAGAAAATTAGGAACTAAATGATATTATCTATATTGAATGAGGTGTTTGAAAACATCTACAGTACTAATGATGTGACAATGAACAGAGGGTTAAAGCAAAAATCAGTAAAATTTATTGGATACAACTAATAGATGAAAAACCATAATATTTCTATCCTGAGGGTCATCAGCCACATGCCTCTAACAAAAAAGAATGTTGTGAGCTATAGCAAAAAAAAAAAAAAAAAAAAAAAAAAAAAATGTTTGAGAAACAGATTTACATTATTAAATTTTAAACTTTCACAGTCAAATGCAACCACTTAAATCCCAGTGTTAATTTTGACTTTGTTTAATTAAAATCAACAATAAACAAAAAACTCACCATCTGTCTACAATGGTCCTGCCAGCAATTGTCGATTGCTTTCAAAAACATCTCATAGTCCATAGTTTTCGTGCAAGAGTTAAGGAAAACTTAATTTAAAGCATAAAAGAATGTCTTCTTTTCTCAAGTTGTTAGTATAGTTTCACAAGCTTAAGAGCTGTCTTTACAGTAATGCTTAAGATTTGAAATGGTAAAGAAAGGTTTGCCTTGGCTGGTGAGAAGACATGAAGCCACTACTTATATTAATAAGTTTAACATCATAGATATGTAAAGAGTCATTTTAATAAGAAGATCTTAAAATGGACATATCCATGACAAAGATACCACAGAGGCAATGGAAATTGTTGGAACTTTGCAAACACACCATAACCCAAAGCGAAGAAGCTCTGAAACTGCCATTCCTTCGGATTATCTGATCAAGTGCTGGCTGGTTGGTTGGTTTTGTTTAGTGGCGTATTAACCTCTATAGGTTATTTAATGCTGAAATCTAAATATTTTGTATACAATTTTTTTTGGTGGGGGTAAGGGTTTTAGCAACACAAGCCTTACTAATTAACCCATAGCAGAAGAAGAGGAGGTGGATTCATGCATGTAAGTTACTACAAAGAACCCAACCAGAATTCAAACTGCTTTCCAATTAATAATTCCAAGCCATTATTCATTACACCACCCACACATCCAAGCTTACACTACCTGATATCCCCAAGTGGTCACCCGCTCAAGATACTGGCCAGATTTGACATTCCTGAACGATCAACGAAGTTGAGCAATCGGTGTTCCAATGTGATATGATCACAAACTTCTGATTAAGTGTGGAAATATTCAGAAAAGTTTAATTTTGGATTACAAATTCCTTTTGCATCTGTTTATAAACATTGGAGCATAATTAAGAAGCAAGATGTTCCGGTTGAATGAAAGCTACTAAAAACAATCAGACTTCTTTAAACCAAATTGCAGTACAGTTTTAATGATGCCATGTCCTGATTTCATAAACCAATAATCACCATCAGATTTAGGAGTCAATGGTTATGACAATATACCGATTACACTGTAACAAAATCTTTTACTTTTTTGTTTTTGTTCAGTAGATTTTATTTGATAATTACTTCTATCCAGAAAGCAAAGGAAATGACTATTATCCCCTTCACACTGGACATTGATGTTTTGAAACTAACCTATTTTCTATCATGTTCCAGACAGATTCAGTGCAGAGTTGCTGAAGAAGTTTCAAAAAGTTTCAAGAATTTCTAGAACATTCTAGCAACATAGATGTGAGTATAAATACAATGAACATAAGCTCAACAGTTCAGTTTACTTTGAGCTGTCCAAGTGCAGACAAGTTGTCATCAATAGAGATGGCATCAAGAGGATGTAAGCATCTAGCAGGCACATTTTGCTATGTCTGTGGCAAATTTATCAAGACAAGGGCAAAAAAGTACTCTGTGACAATATCTAAAATGTATGAGGCCTACAAGGCATATTTCGCCATATCCATGGAGTATCAAGACAAACCCGGGGCACCTTATTTCACCTGTGAACTCTGCAAAAGAACTCTAGAAGGTAAGATGCAAAGTTTTGCTTGTTTGGGGGAAATTTTTTAAGCGTAAAAGCTTACTTACTTTTTAATCCCATGTTAATGAAAAATATGTATTAAACAGGTTTCAACAATCGCACATTAGTGTCTATAGTAGCATGGATATTTGCTATGGTGGATCATAAAAAATAAAAATATTAAATATTAAGGTTGTTCAGTATTCAAGATTCCATATTTTTGTGGCATTTGCTACATTAATTGTGTTCCAAAGTCAGAATTTTATATATCCAGTGCACGATTTTCAGAAAAAAAAAATAAAAATAAAAAAAAAATAAAAAAATAAATAAATAGTAATTCTTTTTAGAATTTTTCAATAACTAGTATTTTTATAGTCATCTTTTAATTTGAACTTTTGCAGGATGGTAGAGACTGGGAAATAGAGCCATGAAATTTGCAATCCCATGAATTTAGAGAGGATCAACTGACAACTCAAGCAATTGCATCTTCTGCATGGTAGACCGTTTCAAATTGTTGAGCTGGTAAGAATCCACCTGGTATTATATATCCAGACCTTCCATCATCCAGTGCCACACCACCTTGGTCTCCCACATTGATTCAGATTCCAGAGGCACAGCTGAGAAAGGAAACCCTTACTCAGTAACCCAATTTGAGATCTTGGTCGCACAATGCCGATCTTTTGACGTCGAGACTCAAGCAGTGGAATTTGTTTGATGAAAGTGTGAAAGTTGCTGGTCAGAGAAAAGATCACCAGTACTTTTCAAGCAATTCACCCATCAAAATGGGCTTTGTTTCTATCACAATGTGACCAATCTATTCAAGGCAGTTGGAATCACATGTAACCCCAGTGAGTGGCACCTCTTTGTCGACAACTCATCGAGGAACCTCAAAGCTATGCTGTTTCATAACAGGAACATATACACACACATTATATATATATATATATTATATATATACATACATATACACATACATACACACACACACACACACACACACACACACACTAAAAGTCAGCTAGAGTTACAACTCAAATATGCAACAAGAAAGCATTCTAGTTCAAAGTGAAGCATTTTCTTTTTTCTGTCTAGATAGTTGAGGCGTTGAACACTGTGTAGATAAGTGCTTTCTTTTTGTTTTTTTTTTTTTTTTTTTTTTTTTTTTTCATTCATTGTCTGGGATATTTTTTTTTCTTATCTTAGGTATTAGCTCATCTGGTAAGTTGTCTGTTGTCACACCAACATTGGTGTTTTTTTTTTTAGTACACAATATATATATATATATATATATGTGTGCGTACATGCATATACACACACACACACACACACACACACACACACATGGTGTAAAAGCAAAATTGTCCTATTGTTAAATTAAGCTTTGAACCATATCTTAAAAATGATTAAAGATATCTTACTGGAATTCTCTGAGGTCTTTATAACACTATTGGACTCTACTTTGAGCAATAAAAATGTATAATTACTCTCCAAGTTTAACAGAAGAATCTTGATGAAATCGATCATAAATGAAAATGATATGTTCATTAATTAATCGTAGCTAAGGATCGGAAGCTCATGAAGCTTTATTTTATATATATATATATATATATATATATATATATATATATATATATAAGTTCCTGGATCATTTTCCAACTTAAGATGATCTTCACCTCTCTAACTTAACTTTCTGTCCTGGAGTAACATGGGCATCACACATGTTTCACATACAATATTTTTTTCAAGTCCTTTTTCACTGCTCTTAGAACTGTCATAGCTGAAACTCCTCTCTCACTTGCCAAATGTCTTATGGATCGAGTTGGATCTTTTCTATCTTTTCAGCTGTAATGATCCTTCTTTCTCTTTGTGACCTCCTGATTCAGTTTTCTTCTACTGTTCCCTCTTTTTAAACTTATTCACAGTTCTCTAGATGGTTCTAGAATGGACTTTGAAGATAGAAGCCAGAGTATGATTGTTGGTACCATTACTGAAGGTCTGCCCTCTCACCATTGCTCAGTTGAGAAGACAATGGGGCTAACACAAAAGATTTTTATCCTGCTCTCTTTCTAGCTGAATAACTCAAGTTTTTCCAGTGATTCTTATGACAAATATTATCAAGATGGCTGAACGTCTTATCTAAAAACCTGGTACAAAAGCAGACCAATTAGTTTAGTTGGTTTTTAGATATTAAACATTTTGTGGGGTGGACAATTATGCTGTAACACGATTTGAACAATTTTGCTGTTACACCCAGTATACGTCACACCTATTGATATACTTAAAATTATATAATATGTCAAGGCAAACAGAATTTTGTCAAATTTTTTGGTAACTATCTGGACTCTTAATTATTGCATCAAAAACATAAATTCTGGATATTTAAAGATTGACTTAAAGCAGACTGTTGCTATCTTGTTGTCATAATGTTTCACCGACTGTGCCCTCTGGTCTTCAAATGCTTGTCAATAAAAGGTAACTTTCAGGGAATTTTGAACTGAACCCTTTATTTAGGAGTTTTCCGTTCACTTGTCCATGGATGTGTCATCTAGTTCTTATTTAGTACTGTTCGGTTATTGCTCACCCTAAATAATGTATACTCGAGCTCAGCAGAAACGGAGCGAGTAATAACCAAGCAGTATTAAATAAAGAACTAGATGAGACATCCCTGAAGATGGGCAGTGGAATAAGAACAAGAACCATGGATTAAATAAACTGTTTAGTTTGGAATTCCCTGTAGGGTAACCAGATCGATGATGGATGAAACATGATAACATGAAAGATGTAGACAATGGTCCATGTGTAAATAACGTAAAACAACTAAGTTATATAATATATCTTAAGAAAAGACATTTTTAAATTGTTACACAAAAGCTTTCATGTTTCAATACTATGATTGTACTTCCTCAGGCAATGGTAAGAGCTACTTACTGTCACCTGAAGAAGTACAATCATAGTATTGAAACATGAAAGCTTTTGTATAACAATTTAAAAATGTTTTTTAATATAATCTCTTATAATAAAATATAATAATATATTGCTCTATTTTGTATTGTGTACTTTAAAAGTAAATGCTACAAACAGAAGATTTTTACTATCTGTTCTTTCTCTCATTTGGAGAAGATTATATATATATATATATATATATATATATATGCAGCATATATTCATTCAAACAGGTTATATAATAGACATATGCCTTTTTATAATAATACTTTCTAGTTCTCTAATCAGCTTCGTGATGTTAAGTTGAAATTCATCAAGGAAGATGCCATGATTTTTTTTTTCTTACCCAAGTACTATTGGTCTCCTCTGAGATCATCCTCAGGAGTGTATTGCAAAGACAAACTTATTGTAACTTTGCAACAGGAAAAAACTACAGTGCCTTCCTCGAATTTCAAGTTAACATCAAGAAGCTGATTAGAGAATTAGAAAGGATTATTATAAAAATAAGACAAAATATGTCTATATGATTTAATGAAACATGTTTGGATGAAACGTTTTTTGAATTCTCGTATACTTGTATTTTGATTGGTCATTCCAGTTTATGTAACAGCATTTCCCCTTATGAGAGGTGGTTAATTACTTTGAACCTTTTGAAACCTTTATTCTACATTCAACATCACTTGATAAGACACCAGGTGTTGAAACAAAATGGTTATTTTTGTAGTGATTTTATAATATATTTATGTTATAATATATATATATACACACACACACACAAACAAACAAAGGTGAATCAATAAATTTTGTAACAAAATAGCTATGAGCTAAATTTGGAATTTTCAATTTATGCTTGATCAGTGTTATTTAATTCACCATTGAATTAAACACATTATTGAGTTTATGCTGAATGTGCAAAATAAAATGCCTTTTTCTCCCTTGTAAACATTAAATTACCAACATTACATATTCCATCCCATGTGGAATTAAAAACAGGCCATCTACATGGACTATTTTGGAATTATTGCCAGACTTTTTCCAGGTCTGTTATTACACCTTATCTTACGAATATTACCCAGTGAAAGAATAACTTCTTTTTCTTAAGATGGAATATTTTTCAGTATCTGTAAAATGCCACCAAGCCACCTACACAATCTGCAGTTGTCTACTGAAGAACACACGGCTGCATTAAAAATAAAAACAGAAAAACTTGGTAACAATCCATCTCATCTTCTTGAGTGACATTCCAACATTTGAAACAGTATCAGCAAACAAGAAAAAAAAAATTAAAATACTTTAAATTAGGAAGAAAAATGTGGATTAAAGCATTGTTAGATGGGAGGGGAAAAAAAAAAAATTTAACAAAAAGGATATCCCAAAAACTGCTGCAGGTTTGACTGTACATGGGCTTCACATACATGTTTTAACTGTTCATAAATAGTGGCAGACATTTTGTGTGAGCACATGTTCTCTACAGCTTGGTAAAGTTCCTCTAAGTTTGACTTGATAGAATGGCTGTTGTGTATAGCCTCCACGGCTTCCTCCAATTTCTGCCATGTGTTCTGCTGGTAATTCTCTGGTAACTTGGGCTTATCTGCAAAAAAAATTAAGAAACTAGTCAGAAAATGAACTGCATGTTCTATAAAGCATGTTCTATATTTGTTAGAGGTCAACTGGCAAAGGTTTGACAAACCTTAATCTTTTACATTGTAGTCCTCATCCATATTGCTATATTCACAAAGTTTCAGCCACTCTCGGTAGGCTGATTTCCTCAGTTGCTATAATCTTGACCTCTTCAAGTCTGAGGTTAAGTTATCCTTCCTACATGACTTGATGAACTTCACTTTGTGCCTTTTCTTATACTCATACAACACCACACAATAACTCCCTTGTGTGGCTCGAGCCTTGTATTGGGTGAACATTAGTGTGTGTGCGTATATATATATATATATATATATATATATATATATATATATATCACAAAATGAAAATGTTTACTTGTGACACATTTCATCTGACTTGGCTTGTTGATGTTTTTATGATTTCATATGCATGAACAAGAGACACTAGAAATTAAAAATATTTTTTTTTAAAGAATTTGCAGCCCTCAATACATGAAGAGGAGAAATTAATTGAAAAAAAAAAAAAAAAATTCAAGCCCCTTCAATACTCTATTTCATATTCAATAAAATATTCCAAATAGAAAAGCTGCATTTCCTGACAAAAAAAAAATAAAAATAAATAAATAAATAAATTCTACCCACTATCACAACTACAACTGAAAAGTTATCTAAATTCAACTATATCTAAGACAATAAAAGTCTTAACCAATACAAAACAAAACAAGCCAAAACTTGAAAGAAAAATTTCCTCTATCAACCACAAGGATTGCCAGAAAGAATATATTGGAGAAACCTCAAGAAGTTTAAATAAAAGACTATACAAACATAAGAAACATTTTAAAAAACACAAAATGCATTGGCTGTTCACCATAACCAAACTGACCACAATTTTGACAAAAAAATCCTACTCTAATTAAAAGGGAAAATAATTAAGATGAAAGTATTTAGGCATTTTAATTGCTAGTTCAGCCACAGTAAATTTACATCCAGGTTCTTACATTTTGCCATTCTTGGCAGATTTTCTGTTATCAAAACGTGGATATTTAAAAACAAAGACGAAAAGAAAAATAATGTAGATGAATTTGGCTAGATGGTAAAAAATTATTAAGAAAGAAAAAATTTTGAAACGTCTCGTTCATGCACAGCCGCAATGTCAACAAACTCAATCCGATGAAGTCCTAATAGATGAAATGCTTCACAAATAAACTTTTCTCATTTTGTCTTACAATTTCCTCAATACTGTTCTTGATATATATAGTTAAAAAAATATACATAATACCCTACATTGATTGCACAACCGAGTTTTATGCTTTTCACAATCTTCGAGTGCAAGTGTGGAGTGACATATTTAATATTTCTGGCTATCAAAAGATATTTTATTGTTAGGATAGATTATTATCGCCGTTAAGTATTTAAAAGAATTGTAGTTTAATTTTGGATTTGAATTTAGGCCCAGATTAACATATAAGTTTGAAAATAAGAATTATGATTTTTAATATAAAAATGGACAAAATTAAAAAAAAGAAAAAAAAGTTTGAAGTGGAGAGGGGGACTATTTTTGTTTGAAAATTAATAATGCAGTGGTAAAATTAAAATAAAAACAAATATATATAAATAATAAATAAATAAAAATAACAATGATAATAAAAACAAACACATTGCTGATAGACTAAAAATAAGTCTGATATAATAATGGTTATATAGTAAAAATAGTAATAATATTAATATGATGATATTAGCATAAATGTTAAATGCATTACTGTCTAATCCAGAATTTGAATTAGGCCCAGATTTGCAAATAGAATACAAGAAATTTTAAAATACATTAAAAACTGGCACTACTAATAAAAATACATTAGAAGATAAAAGTGGGTAACCCCTATATTTTTTTCCTTTGGGAAATGAATAGTTATTCATGAAAATTATATTTGCAGTGATAAAATAAAAAAAGGTAAAAAGAAAAAAATGATAAAAGTAATAAAAAAACCGTTTGTTACTAGTGCACTAAGACTAAGAGCAAGATAAGAATAATAACAGTAATAAGATCTATATAGTAAAGATAGTAAAAAAAAAAAATATTAAAAATAAATATTTATGATAATAAATGATATCAATACTAGTATCTGTGGTCCCCAGGCCTGGCTAAACTATATTAATCTGGGTCAACGTGCTTGAGTAGAAATTTAGTTCTATGCAAGCAGGTGCTCATTAACTTAACTCTTGTTTAAGAGATTTGGATCGTTCATATTTTTTTAGGGTCATTAATTTTTCAGAAAGACACAAGTTACATCTGTTGCTTTTCCCACTGAAGGGTTTAGCTTTCATTACACATTCCCGGGTGATAATTGGGTTTCTATTCTCGCTTTTCAGTTTCCATAAAAATTTGTTATTATATTTGATATTGCTTAATGTCATTTAGCAGTGATAGAAGTGCAATTTTCAATGGTTTTCAGTAGAGCCCACATAAAATTTGACCTAATCATATTCGATTTTAGATTTATAGACTAATGATTTAGTCATACATCTGCCGATTAATGGTTTGTTCTTTGAGCAGTTACATTCCTTAGTTGTGGGGATGTTACTGTTTTGTAGGTGGTTGAAGTGTTTGTTTAGAATGGTACAGTTGTGCTGTAATATATACTGGTCAATGTTTTTGGGCACAACTATAGCTAACTTTGATGTTACTTTTGTTGAAAATCTTATTTAGTGTTGGGGAATGATGGAAGAGCTTAAGGCTTAAATTCAAAAAACTTTTCCCAATATTAGTTTTGACATTTTTGTTGAAGAGTGGGTTAAACCATATTATATTGCATTTGTGGCATTCTGATGTGTTGAGATCATATATATATATATATATATATATATATATATATATATATATATACACACACACTCCAATCTCAAGATCAAACAACACTGTATTCTAAGGAGGCAAAATATTCACCATTCACTCTTCATGAACAGTATGTAAGAAGGGAGAAATTTTAGCATGCTTTTTGGGACATTTAAAAATAATTTAATATGAGAAATATTTGTTTAATTTTCTAACAGATCAGTAAAATAACAAACACCACAAGAACAAGACTGTTTCACCACAGATACATGATCAATGGTGATATGAAATTTTCCAAATAATACTTATTCTGGTATTTGTTTGATCTATTCTCCAAACTTCTTTACGTATACAATTTATAAGAGATCTTTTTTTTTCTTTTTTTTTTTACAAAATGGTTGTTAACATAAAAAGAAATATTGGCTAATATCCAAATCAGATCATTCTAAATAATACAACACAGGACATTATTCCCCCCAACCTTTAGTTACATGTGCTCACAACAACCAATTTCCAATAATATCAAACTAATGGTACATAAGGAATAAGAAACCAGTTATGACTAATCTTGTGTCACCTGAAAACAATTTATGTTAAATCAACTGTTGAAATATTGTTTAACATTGTCAAAAACTTTTTTTTTCCTTAAACCATGCTCTTAACTGTAGTAGTAATAATAACAATAGTAATAATAAAGAAGTGTAATCTAATAGTACTAGTGCTTTTGTTGTAAGTCCTTGCTTAAACTAACAGCTGAAATATATATATATATATATATATATATATTTTAAGTGCAATGTCTACAATAAAGGATACTTTTATAACTAAACACTAGTCATCTAACTGGACAGATGTCCCTACAAAGACGCACCATGCCTCAAGAGAATATTGGGCCTCAAACTCATACCTGACCTCAAGTGGAACTCTTATATATGATGCATTGCTAAAGATGTAGGTAAAATGATTGAATCCCTCTACCACTCCAGTAAGTACCTGACTCCTCGTGCTATCCTTCACTTTTATGAGAGCCAGATCAGACTGAAAAATAGAGCCCAGTCCTCACTTTCCAGTCTTGATAGAGTTCAAAAGAGTATCAGAGTCCTTGAAGAATTATTTTCCACCCTCCAACCTCTTTCTCACAAGCAGGATGTGACAAGTCCCTCACTGCCCTATCACTACTTGCATGGAAAGTGCTCAGATGAACCAAGTTCCTTGGTTCTGCTAGGACAAGCCATACCATTTATAATGGTAGCAAACCACCTGCATTCCTTCAGTATTCCATTGACAAGAAACTTCTTGTCAATGGAATACTGAAGGAACGCAGGTGGTTTGCTACCACTCAAACAGCTTCTTCCTGTGAACAACTACTCTGTGGAACAGACTACCAAGAGGACCCCCACCCCAATCACTACAATCTTAACTTTTTATACATATACACTACCCCTTAAAGTAACCCTCTACCTCGAGTGGACCCTGGGCTTCATACAGGGTGAACTTTACTGTAAAGAAAAAAAATTCCTGAGTATTTTATAGCAACAATTTCCATTCCTACTTAAAACAAAAGTATTCAACTGAAATACATTTACAAATGAAAGAAGAGACTTAAAAATTTTAACAAATAATAATAACACCACCACTGTTCCATACATATTGAACAACTACAAAAGGTGGCCTTCCAAACACAAAAGCAGAGGTATAGGAATGTTCTGTTTGACTCAAAGATTATTATATATTTTATAATTTCCTTCTTGGTCAGGATGGGAACTTTTCTGTATACCATTTATATTTATACACACATGTTTAAGAGTTAGTACTAAAAGGACTACATTCCTATGTTTATTAAAATCCCATGGTCAAAATACATTATTTTAGCAAGATTTTAATTAAATTTATTTACCAAAGACATTTCTCAGGTACATATGGAAATTGAATATGACATCAAATCTGGTTTGTCAAGCTCTAAATGAATATCATCAAATGTGAATGACATCATTAGTTCAATAGATAAAAGGAATAAATTAGAAAATATATTGAAAATGTATATTTATGGAGAAAAAAAATTTAAATATTAATTGAATTTTAAGCAAATTGCAATGACTGATTTTTTTTTTTTAAGAGAAAATACAATCTTGTATGAACAAGATATATTTTAGAATGTTCAAGATGCTTAATGGGAAGGTATAAATATCAGTAAACAAGGATTACAAACAATGTGAATGTGTACCAAGAGGAAAAAACATAATAAAATAATTAAAAATAAATATAAAAACTATTATAAAACTATGCTAGAGGCAACAGATGAATAGGTCAGAGAAAAAAAAAAAATCAATCAGATTTAAGCTGAACAATTAAGTTGTCACATGTCAATGGGACAGTATGCCTGGAAATTACTCATCTCTAAAGATCAAAAATTCTAATTGCGTTATTATTTAAGACTCGAAAGCTTCAACAAATTTTGTTCATAATTTCAATCACAGATTCTGTAAGGATTATACAGCATTTGGTATTTTTTTTTTTTGCCAAACAATTTGTCACATTTAATAATCTGAGAAACTTGACAGATGCAATTAGGAGAAAAAGTAACAAGAGATATCAGTTCTTTTTCAAGAACACATTCCCATCTCTTAAGCTAGGAAAGGTTTGTTTAAAAACTAAAGACAAATATAGCAACCTAATTTTTGTCAGAATTATTATTATACACCAATCTGCTCGTATGAACAGCCAGACTCCGGCATACAACAGCCAGATGGACAATCTCCTCAAAGATGAAAACTAGAAATGTGGTTCTACAGAAGGATGCTGAGGATGTCATAAACTAAATATGTGAGCAACAACAAAAATTTAGAGAAAAATGAAAACAAAAAGGAAACACACTTAACATCAGGAAGAGACAGTAGAAATTTCTACGGGACATAATGAGGAAGGAGAGCTTGGAAAATCTGACACTCACAAGATAGATTGAAGACAAGAGAGATAGTGAAAAACAATGCATAACATAGTTAGTGAGCTTGAGTAAATGGATGGCAGAACAGGGTCTGGAAGAAATAACTAAAAGAGAAAATTTATTAAGAGCTATAAAACAGGAAATTGTGGAGAGCCATGATTACCTACATCCCGAGAGGACACGGCACATAAAGAAGATATGATTAAGATTGTCAAACTGATTCATTTGGTGAAAAACATGCAGAATTTATTACACTAGGTATGTATGGAAATATAGAATGAATCCAGTCAGAGAAGAATGAAAGCGTAGTCCCCACTCCGATGACTCAACACCACTTGATGACATCAAATTCATTGTAAAGACGATTTGCCTCTATGCTCAAATTTAAGCAATGTTTAAGTGCTGATCATATATTTAGTATTAGCTATTTGAAGAGTTTCAATTTGATAGAAAGAACAACAAAATAAATTTGCATTAATTCCATTATTACTTGAGTAGGCTAAAAATATTGTAACAGTCTCTTCCATCTTTTCTAAGTAAATAAAAGGGCGAGTTTACACATTTGCATATCCTCATTTTATAAGAGATGATTCTAAGTAATTGCCTCTACAGGTAGATAAAAATATTACAAGCATAAAAACTACATATACGAGAAAGGGAGAGCCAACAAACTTCTCAGCTGAACATGTTTTTCAGCGATTCAATTTCTGTCTTTGCAGGTTATTTAAAGCCAGAAAATATTTTAAGATCATAATTTTTTTTTTTGAGAATGGTTTAGTGATACAAATTTTACTAATTAGCTCATAGGTGGGGGAGAAGAGGGATTCATACCTAAACAGAATTTGATAATATATAGATATAAAGTGGGGGATCAATTCTCTATTACAATCAATATATAAATTGATCACTCACTTTGCAGTCATGGTACTTTCTTTACATTTATATTCCATGAACACTATTTGGACTTTGCTTAGCCATTAGGTTCTCTGTAGCTGAGAAGATACATCAGATCTAATAACAGTTTCCCCTAGGAGAACACTGGTTCAAATCCTGCTAGAGTGCGCATATTTTTCTAATAAGATTTATCGAATATTTCGGCCAGTAGATAATAATAAATAAAATATATTGTTTAATAAATAAACAGAGCGTTTACTCAAATATCGGTATCCAATAAAAATAATGAAATAAAAAAATTACATAGAATGTAAATAAATCTAAAAGACATGCCTGTGTAGCTAATCAGTATTTCATTGATTGAATCATCGTTTCTACAGCTTAACCCTTTGCAGGTTATTTAAAGCCCAAAAATGTTTTTAGATAAGAATTTTGGGGGAGATAAGGATTTAAGGATATAAGTCTTAGTAATTAATTCATAGCCGGGGGTAGAAGGTGTCATTCATACTTAATCAGAATTTGATAAGCAAACAAGAAATAATGTGGATATAAAATGGGGGGGATCAATTCTATATTACAATTAATGTATAAACTGTTCCCTCACTTTGTGGCAAAGGTAGATTCTATACATTTATATACCATAGAATGTAAATAAATCTAAAAAATGCGTGTAGCTAATCAGCATTTCATTGATCGATTGATTGATTCATTCTCGACAGCTCATCAGCCTTTATTATTATTAAAATTTAAATTTTATTTAAAACCAGAAAATATTTTTAGATTGTAAGAATTTTTTTTTTTTTTTTTTTTGTGATAATGGTTTAATGATACAAGTCTTACTAATTAAATAGGGTGGGGGGAGGTGGATTCATACCTTTCTCAAGAGTATTTGCACGTAAGTAAATGTAACAAACCCAACTGAAATTGGAACTGCCCTCCAATTAATAATTCCAAGCCATTATACATTACACCACCCACACATCCAAGCTTACAGCACTTTGTATTTACAAGAAGTCACCCATCTAGGTACTGACCCGGCTCAGCACTGCTTAATTTTGGTAATCATATGGGGACTGGTGTTTCAACATTGTAGCCGTAAGCCCAACCTAACACAGAAAGAGACATGACAGTAAACTAACAAATAAGAATAATAAAAACACTAAGAAAAAAAAAAAAAAAAAATCTGATCTTTAAACATTTGGGCAAAATTTTGGAAATGGTTCAGAAAGTTTCAGCACCTCCTTGTCCTTGCTATTACTTTGAGAGAACACATTTCTATAAAAGGTATTTTAACATCAAAAGAGTTAGAAACAATTTACTGACTGATAAAACTAACATTAATATATTAATATAAAAGATGCACCTCCAATGCTTTTTTTGTGTGTGTATGGGGGGGGGGTAATAGTCAGTTTAAACTATCAGTGCAAAAAGTGCAACTGTGGAGCAGAGTTCAAATTCCAGTCTCCTCCCGACCAGCCCCCAGTTAAACATTAAATAGCAGGACAGACTAGGCTCTCCACTCTTGGGTGGTAGCCAGGCAAGGAAGAGAACAATTCTAAATTCAAAACTGCGGAGAAGGCAATTGGAAAGAAACTATTTTTCTCCAAGAAGTCATGGTATTTCAAATATTTTATATTTAAGGAGCTAAAAAAGAAATTTAATTATCATTATCAAAATTATGTTAAATTTTGAACACAAAATAGAAAGGTAAACTAATAGGGAAGACTCAGGCATACCATTTTAACAATACCATCCAAAAACCTACCCCACCCACCCAATTCTCACAACCATCCTTTACAAAGGCTGCTCGTTTTTGTAGATATATATCAACACTGAAGTTGAGTGGAAATATCCTAATCCTATATAGGAAAATTAGAAATCTAGCTTCAAATGCTTATTATCCAAATGTAAATGCACTAATTGTTTTTAACCTAGCTTTTGTTTAACAAGCAGTAAATGTCATTTACTGTAAGTACAATATATAATTAAAAGAAAAAGAAGTTTTCCTTCTGGTATTTTTTGGAACTTTTATAATACTGTGAATGAATGCAGTTATTATGGTTATTAAAGCTACAAGTATTTTGATACCAATCTGGATAGAGGATTATTTAAAAAAAATAAAAAAAAATTGTAGTTAATGCCTCCCTGGAGAAAGGATTTTTTTTTTTTTTTTTCTTTTAAGGAATTCTAAAAGTTTCCCAAATCCCTAAATTAAAAATTGCTAATAATTCCTGGTTTTTCTTGTTTTGGATAGTGCAAAGAACAGAAATTTAATCTTAATTTATCATAAGACAAAAAGCAAGCACTTTACTTCATAAATTAATTGATCAAGTCAAAGCATTATTTTTCTGTTTTATATGACCTGTTAGCAAAAACGTATAAGCTCATAAAACAAGGTTTTACTTAACTACTTAAATTCCATATCTCTTTAAGGATGTAAGTGATTATGGCCCACCACAGCTTTTTTTTTTTTTTTTTTAATATTGGCTAATCACCTTGACATCTTGGGAAATATATTGGAGTGGTTTCCTGCAACCTTCTCCAACAATTTCAATTCAAAGAAGTCAGACCGTGTACTACCAAAGCTAGCAGTAGCAAGCTCTGGTTATTTAACCCATAGTTTGAAAAGAGATGAATTCACACCTTTCTCAAGGGTATTCATGCAAAAGTGAACAAAGCAGACTAGACCACAATTTGAACTTGGTGCCCCAATAGCCATTATCCTACCTGAATGTCCTTGGATTATAATACCATATCACTGAGTAAGGACCGAACTCATTAGAAATGGCTTCAAAATCAGTTTTATTTTGACTGCTTTGCCTGACCTGGACAACATCAGATAACCATGAATGGAAAAAAGTTCTAATATAAACCTAAACTAATGTAATATTTAGCAACTAACTCTGCAGAAACAATTATTGATCTCATGTCTATTTTTGGCTTGCAAATTGTTTTTAAAGGCAATTCAAAAAAAAAAAAAAAAAAAAAACCCACTTGTACAGGATTTCAGAGATTAACAATACTGATAGAATAATAAATACAATTAACCCAAAGATTACTAATTTCTCGTTTAAACCTACATTAGCAGTTAGAAACTACTTGGAACAACCTGACCTACAAAACTTATCCACATTTAATAACCAATAAATTGACCAATACTAGATCTTTAAGAGACATCAACAACAAATAAATACTTGCGTTAAAGAATGCTGTGTTTGTTCATGCAAATCAGCAATCAGACATGAAAGTACAAAGCTACCATGTGACTTTCTTGCATAACTCCTTGCAGTTTTAGTTATGTTTTCTCTGAACATAAAAACCCCAGAAAGGTAAAAATCTTCGTAATTTACTTTTAACATCTAACTTCATCACAATTTCCAACAATAAAACTAAGATCAGGACCTGTCTATATTTCTGAGATGAGGTATCTTTATTTACACTGTATACAAATGTTCAGACTGTTGCCCTCATCTTTGTTGCCATATTCACAATGTTGAAGAAGGCTGAAACATCATGAATATGGCAACAAAGATGAGGACAACAGTCGGAACAATGTAAATAGTGTAAATAAGATCGGGACCATATGTAATATTACCAATCATTGCAACAGCAGAACAATGCAGTATACAATCTAATACAGAGGGGAGGGTGACAAAAACCTAGATCAACTCTGAATGGGCTGATTTAAGATCAAACAAAAAATGCACTCACTCTTTCTTGCCCTCATGTGCGTGTACATATATATATATATATATCTCTCAAAAAACACTCTCTGGTCACTGGATCTGATAAGATAATTTATTGCCCCTCTTATCCTCAAAAATCCCAATGCATTTTCCTTAAACACTTGTCTTTCATTCAAACCTGAAGACAAATCTAACATACTTCAGTGAAATGAATCGTTAAAATGCTTCCATGCTTAGTCCCATTGTTTTCACTTTTGTTCAGGATCCTCTTCTACATCCGACTAACATACAACAAAAATATAGTTTTAATGTATTTATGGGTAAAAGTGGTCAAATCAGGGATAGAGCGTATATAAATATGAAAGTGGACATTTAGGTAAACAGTGGTGAAAATCTGTTTCATGCTTAAACAATCTTCAGATCATAAGACTGTATTCAAGCATGAAACAGACTGTCAACCTCTATGTGCACTTACAAATGTGTGTGTATATATAAAAGAGTTGGTAACAAAAAAAAAAAAAAAAAAAAATTTTTTTTTAAATGCCTCCTGTTTTAAGCTAGCCCTTGATGGTATCAGACCTCCAAACTAACTTTTTCTACCAGCATCCAAGAAACCCTCACAAAACCAAAAATTACTTTTTTTATTTTTATTTAATTTTATCATTTACTAGCAGTAGAGCCCGGCGTTGCCTGGGGATGTAACAGTAAGAGATAGATATCAAGTATCGACCATTATAAAGACTGAAAAATAAAATTAACAAAGATTATTGTTTAAGGTTGACGGACACGCATGTCTTAATTTTTTTTTTTTTTTTTTTACGAATTGGTCAAACTCAAACAAGAACATTGTTTACAATCGTTATGAGTCTATCGATTGGTGATTAGAATTTTATTATAAACAATTGTCTTGTAAATGGAATTTTTAAAGCATTCTGAATGTAAATAAAGAAAAAAGTGTGCAAGACAATAAGAAATACTACCTGCCAAAAAAAAAAAAAAAAAAAAAAAGTAGATGTTTGTTTTATCGGCTGAAAAATGTAAGAAATCCGATCCTATATATAAAGGAACACACACACACACAAACAACCTGAGTTTTTTAACCTAAGTCACTCCACGGAATCGCTAAAACAGAGCATAGTCTGATGAAAAGGATGCTAAAGTTTATGAAAACAAAATTTTATCGTCAAAATGCTTATGTTTTTATGAAGAGGATAGACTAAATTTTTTTTTTAGTTATTTTTGAAAATTTTTCCATCTTTTTAGAATATTCTAAATTTTGATTTAAAAAACCTTGTTTCTCTTTTGTCGCAACAAGGGGTAGAAAATAACAGATAATTTTTAGTTTATTTTTTGTATTTACACACATTAATTTGGAAAATCTTGCAAAAATAAAAATAATTGTCAGATGTTAATGAAACTCTCAGAAACTATTCACAGATGATCAAAATTATTATATGTTTTTTTTTTTTTTTTTATTAAAGTCATGGCAGAAATGTTTTTTTTATATTTATTAACACCCCCATAACTAATTTTATGAAAAACTCTAGAAATTCGAGACCATCGGTTTTAGTGATTACAATAGTTAAAAGCACAAGGCTTTGAAGAATGCAAATCATGTATTTTCTTTTTTTTTTTTTTGGCCAACGTACCTGAAAATCAGCTGTGAATTGTAACATACAAAACTCAATAAAACAAATATATTATTTAGTTTCAAATGCTTTTATTTGTTTTAATTTGTTTTTATGAATATGGACAATATTTTCTGGAAGCAAAAATTTTTTTGAATTTTTAATACAATTATTTCTTATTTCTTTAATTTTAAAAGATTTTTAAAAATGTTTAAATTGAATTTAAAAAATATTTTAACATTAGTTAAATGCAACATCAACCTTTCAAAATGTCCGTGTGAGATTGTCATTGTCTAGCGCTTTGAAAATTGTATAATTTGGACCAATCAGATTAGCCATGGTAATTAAGAAATGTAATTTTTGTGTTTATAGTCAGACAGTAATTATCAAGAACGGAAGACCAACCAGAATACAATTTAGTTGCATTATTTGAGTTCAGCATTGTTCTCCGCTGTTAAGCCCTTTACTTTTGCGAAACACGTATGGAGAAGTTAATTTGAGTTTTCAATTTCAACTGAGAAGGGTACCTACAAGTAACTAACAGTATCATCTTATGTAATTTAACTACTGCTAAACTTTAATTTATATGATCTTATTTTTATATTAATCTCAGTTATGACATTTTTCCATAAATGAAATATCAAAATTAATAATAAAATGAATGGAAATACAAATAACACAGTAAAATGTAATAAATGTACATAAAATTATAGTATTTTATGTACACTTCTGATAAAATTTCATAAGAAAGGTACCTAAATTAATTAGATACCTT